TAGTTTTTCGCAGATGTTTTATCTCATTTTTTGTATATAGGTGTCACAGATGCAGTACCCCAACAGGAACGAAGGATGTGATTTTGAATCGAGGAGTTGAATATAATGCACAGGGGGTATGCGAGAGCTGAGGCACAGGACTTCATAACGGCAGAAGTAATCCCATCCTTTCCAGGGGACGAACAAGTTTTCAGTTTAGTAAGGTGCCTCTCAATGTCCTGAGGTTGAAAATCTATGCTACAGATGGTCGCTAGGCATCTATGAGGGCTGGATAAGTTCGGAAGAGTACCATCACCATCAGGTTCATTCACAAAGTCTTCACTGAAAGCATCGGCAAGAAGATTGGCAGATTTTTCGGCATCAGTATGTAGGTGGCCATTGGGATCACGGATTTGTGGGGAAGAAACCTTAGAGTTCAGGGTGGATCTCAAGTATCTAAACAACTTCTTCTTATCTTTCGATGATACAAGATTTTGCTCATAATTGCGCTTGGCGTTTTTCAAGTTCTTCGAAAGGATGTTAGAGAAAGATCGATGAGATACATAATCCTGTTGTAGTCTACTTCTTTGGAATCTTTGCCATAACGCTTTTTTATGCCTCAACATCCTTGAGAGGTTATGGTTAATCCAAGGCTTTCTTGGGTGTCTGAATATCTTCTTTGTGGTCGTATGCCTAGTGACTTCCAGTTGGATTCGACGAGAGAATATATCCCACATATCTTCAGTGCTACGTTGTGCAAGCAGGTTGGACCAGTTTATTTCAGACAATGCTCGATTGAGAGCACTGTAGTTTAATAGCTTCACAGTTTTGAAATGTCTACGTGATGGAGTTTGTACATAGAATTGAAGTGAGGTCAATAAGGTACAGTGATCCGACTTGCCAAAAGGAGGTAGGTAGTCTAGACTGGAAACAAAGTCAGGATCATTTACAAAAATCAGGTCGAGAGTTCTGGGAGTATGGCCTTCTCTGAATCTCGTCGGATGATCTACGAGTTGGAGGATGTTCGACTTACGCATTAAATCAATATAAGGGGCAGAAGGAGAGTTGCATTCTGGTAATGTTGTCATGGGCCAGCTGATGTCACGTAAGTTGAAATCACCAGTTAACAGAATGTTTGAATTCTTGGTTAGAAGTTCTTCGATGAATTTACACAAATAAACATCACCAGCACAGGGACGCGGTCTGTAGATACAGGCTAATAAACTGAAGTTTGGCCGTGTTAGTTCCAAAAAGAGACTGTCGATACCATCGAAGCTCTTGGAGGTAGTAGTTATTGTGAAATTGTCAGCGAATTCGGTACGTACATAAACACAGACCCCACAATACCCCGGCGTGCGAGGGGAATCTTCCCTATACAAACAGTAACCAGGCAAATTAACAACATAGTCAGGTATATTAGGGCTGAGCCAGGTTTCTGTCAGACAAAGAAACGAAGGTTTGGTTCCATCAACAAATGCTTGCACTTCGAGAAGTTTAGATACCAGTGACTGAATGTTTGTGTAGCACACCGACACCTCGGTTAGCAGTTTTTTGATACAGAAGATTGCTGTGCAACAATATTGACAATGGATGGTCTACCCTTGACATATTTAATCGTGATATTGCGTTCTCCAGCCGTTAGCCTTCGTTTCAACTCCTCACGTAGTTGCTGCAGCTCATGCATTTGTGACGGTGTTTTGTCGTCCAAAATTTTAACGGAGTTATAGGTAGAGTGGCTTAAAATATCATTCTTCTTGCGTAGAATATTCTTAGCTATTATAGGCGATGCAAAGCCAACCTTTATCAACCGAGGACGAGATGTACCTACAGCACCAAGTCTGGTCATGTTGAGGCGGTATCCATTAGCAGACGGTTCGATGTGGTTGATTATGTCTGTTACGGAATCAGAATCATTGTTGCCTTCAGGAAGACCTTTCAGGATAATATTGTGAGATCGTCTGAATATTTCCCAAGTTTCAGTCGGAGATGATGGGATATTGTTAGCGTTGGTATTCAACGATCTATCATTTACCAGTGCATTGGTCAGTCTAGATTCAACGTTCGAAATGTTGGATAAGATAGATGCTTGCGCACTTTGGAGTTGCTGAATACTAGCCTCACAATTAGAGATCAGTTCGTCATGGCGAACAATAGAAGCCGAATGCTGTTGTAGCAATGACATACAATGGGAGACATCGTTGGTTAGTTGTGCTTGTGAGTTTTTGATGTCTCTAATGTCATTGGCCATGGTCGACAATTGACACAAAATGAGTGCTAGAGGATCAGAAACAGTCGCTTCATCAGACCGATGAGGGGAGACCGCTGGTCGAGCACTAGTTGATGAGGACGACGAGTTGCTACGAGTAACTCTACCACGTCTACAGCATGCTGAACAAACCCATTTGTTGTCACCGTTTTCGGCGAAATAGCCGATCTCTTTAGTGGTCAGGTTAACACAATTAGCGTGGTGACTTTTCAGGCACTTGTACACAGTTGTACATTAAAGTTGCCCATTTTTCTCATTTACAAGATGACATAATTAGAATTTCGATATGACCTTTCGTCTCTTGTCCTCCAAGATCGGCTTTATTTTTTATTAGGGATTTTTGCACAGATATAAAGAATAGAGTTTTTAATTCTGATTCCAAAAATACGCCATACATTTGCGTTGCCAAATTTTAGATAATTCAAAAAAGCAGAATTTCCTAGGTAAGCCTTGAAATTATTAGATTGTCATTTGTTTCGCATATCAGATTTATCCCAAACTCATTTTTATTTCTTCCTGACTTTATTTGAGATGAGATTCCAAAATAAATTGCATGTTGTCATTGTTACTTATCCTCCTCTATAAGATGGTCTAGCCAAATATTCAATTCGACATTTTTTTTCGATTTCCATCACCAACTTAATTTTTTCATATGGACGCTATATTGGAATTTTCCACATTTAAATGGACATTTCAGTCCTTAAATTTGTCATGTATTTCCTTAGTTGGTCATGAGTTTGTTGTTAGATGAAAATTATAAGGAAATAAAAAGGTGGTAAAACCTGAACACAACATGAAAATTTTATTTATGGCAATGACAGTAATAAACAAATAAGCAGAGGTAAATCATAGCAGATGTTCAAAATGTAGTCTGTACTCTTCTCTATACAGTGCTCACGGCTCGATTTTTTCTCTTCGTCTGAGTCTGCAAAACTCGGTTGCTATATTCAATTTGGTTTACGAAACTAATGAAATTTGATAATTTTGAGGCCCACCTATTAAATTCTGTTTTTTTAAAGTAACTAAGGCTTGGCAATGTCAAAGTATGACGTATCATACATTTTTGAAATCGGAATTAAAATATGGCCTCCATAAGAAAAAATAGAGTTAATGCTGCAATTTATTTTGACATCCCACTACAATTGAAGTCAGGAAAAATTAAAACGATTTTGGGAAAATTTCGTTTTTTCCGTATCTCTGCGGAAGTACTTTGAATTTCGAAACTTTCTAAGGGGCATGTTGTTGATTACCTTTGCCCCCATTTGAGCGAATTCGTATCTCTTACAGTTTCCGAGATCCTAATGGTGAGGGTCGAATGAAACCCCCTGTATATCCGAAATAATGACGTTTCAGCAACCTCATCTGATCTCTTTAAGCGTACAGGTGGCTCATATGAACATTGAGCTCCCGGATCCCACAGATCCTAGAACCACCACTGGACTCCCCCAAATAAATACTTTCTAGATCCGCTCCTGACGAGGGTCGACGTTAGTCAACATTGGCAGATGGTCTTGCTGTCAGTAGAACAGTGAAAAATATGGACTAATTGAGCCGTATTCATAAAACAAAGGATACCCTTGTACTTAGTAGTAGATTATGTATTTAGTTGATGTTCGTATTTATGACTTTATGAATTTCAGTCCTAGATATAGAATTTAGCCACTTTTTTAAATTTCTTTTGAAACAATTTCCGAAACGTAAATCTTTTAAGTCTTTAGGTATAATTTCATAAAATTTAGGCGCTAAATAGAGATATGATCGCTGCATTATAGATTTATGCGGTTGAGGAACTACTGTGCCACGAATTTTGTACCTGGTATAATGATTATGTTTAATTTTTTGGTCGGTGTTTACAAATTTATGGTAGTGAGTGATACTGTGTGAGAAATAAAGCTGTCTTATATCATACATTCGAACATCTGCGTATAATTTTTCAGTGGGATAAAGTTTCGGTTTTTTAAATATCATTTTTAGAATACTTTTTTGAAAAACATCTAAATTATAGATATGTGAGGAACATGCAGCTCCCTATGCTAATATACCATATGTGAGATGAGGCTCAATCAGTGCATGGTATAATGTTCGAAGATATTTTTCTGTCAATATATTCCCAAGGTATTTAATTTTGTAGGATACAAATCTAACTTTCTTTAAAATATAATTGACATGGATGTCCCATCGTAAGTGAGGATCTAAGACCACTCCAAGGTATTTTATGTTGGGCACTTTATTAATTTGCATTTTTTGATCATTAATATTGAAGGAGAAATTTGTGTAATTTGGCAGATGTCTAGCATAAGATCCAAATGGTAAAAAATGTGTTTTAGAGTAGTTAATGCTTAATTTTCTACTGTTAAACCACCGAATAATTTTGATAAAATCATTTTCAATTACATTTTTCAGATCATTTTTCATGCTTTTGCTTTTTGAGTATAAGCATATCCTTCAAAGCAGTGACATAAGTAAAAGGATATTCATAATCTTCACCTTATACTTGGCATACGAAGCATATCCTTCAAAAATTCTGAGTGTGGTCAGTAGCAGACTCAACATCGTAACGAAAGGTGGTCAAACGATGATGGCGGAAATTGTGGATGTTAGGGATGTTAAAACGTACAAACCTCGTTTACCTTCACTTGGTCGTGAATCAAAAAAATTGTATCGGTTCGACGAAGCAAATACACAATGGCTTGCGGACAGATTTTTAGTTGAGAAGGAGGAAACTCGAGGAGGAGCACTTTCATGTATTCATAAAATGAAGATACGTCTACGCTATCTCGGTGACCCTGGATGTCAACAAGGTATAGGTCAGGAACTTGGTGTTAGTCAAGCAATGGTATCTCGGACTGTGGATAGAGTTGTAAACAGCATAGTTGCACAGTCGAACGAATGGATCAAGTTTCCAACTACCAACCATAAACTGATGGAGGCCAAGCGGATATGGCAAAGCATGTATAAATTTCCGACAGCAATTGGTGTCATTGATTGTACACATATAGTAATCCTGAAACCAAATCACCATGGAGATGAGTATATCAACCGAAAAGGGAAACCTACTTTAAATGTGCAAGCCACTTGTGATGCCAGAGAGATGTTCACAAGTGTTGATGTCAGTTGGCCTGGATCAGTGCATGATTCCAGAATATGGAGAAATTCACAGATTAGATCATAACTAATAAATAAAGCAAATGTTGTACTTGGCGACGACGGTTAAGGTATTGAGCCACGTCTTATAACTCGCTTCAGAAATCCTACTCCAGGTGCAGAAATAAATTATAATAAGCTTTTAGAACAACAAAGAGTTATGATTGAACGCTGTTTCGGCCAACTGAAACGCCGGTTTCCTATCCTACAGTATGTTTGCCGCGTAAAGTTGGAAAATGTGCCGAAATTAATTATTGCTTGTATTGTACTCCATAATGTTGCGGCGATCCATGAGAATGACGAACTTCCTCTCCGCCAACTAGGTCAACAAATAAGAAACTGGAGTATTATAGTAAATAGTTTTAGTGATTAAAGTGTATTTATAAGTTATAATAAGTTTTATTTTCGTGAACATCATAAGTTACAGGTGGCTTCAGACGCTGCATCATTTCTAATTTTATTTTATAATTAATACTCTTGTTTGGTACTACTCTAATAGCACTAGACGTTGCAGTTCTTTTGTAGTTAACCCTTTGGTTTCCTCAGTTTCGTATTTCTCTGTTGCTAATTTTCTTTTTGGTTGCAATGTCTTCTGAATTGCTGGCGCTGTAATACTAACTGTTTGCCACTGCGCTCGGTATATAGTTCACTTCCTTCTTCTTGAACACTACCAACCTGAATGGCACCTCTAATTTTCCCAACTGTAGGATTACAGTCACCTTACATAGCTTTCAGCAACTTTCTTTCCCAATCTAACAATTTATTTGCTTTGTTACCTTTTTTTTTAGATCTGTTTTTTCTTCAATCTTGATTTCATGTGGTTGATTTTTTTTAATAAGTCTGTAGTATCTACTGGTTTACCGAATGTTGATTCGTAGTTTTTCAACATCTTCTTCAAGGCATCGTCCTTTCTCATTTTTATTTTTGGAACTTGTGATATTTGCAAAATAATGGGAGCAATGGCAATTTCATCTGCGATGAACTGCAGGTCGTTGCCATTATTTTCTATAGTTTCCTCATCACTTTAGGATGGCATGCTTATTAATTTGATAAAAAACTGTATCCAGTAAAAATACGGAACGGTCTGTGTAAGCTCTGGAGTACAACTGTCAGTGATGCTGAGTGAACGAACACCTACGTGAACTACAAACTGGAACAAGTCAGGACATGTCGCTCAAGATACAAATACTAGTCAACATTTTACTTTCTTCTTGGAGGACATCCTCGCGAATATATTATGAATACGAAAACAAGGATATGCTATATGCTTATACTTCTACCTTTTTCGCCGAAGCAAGACCTTATACTTTTACCTTATGCTTCCGAGGATATGCTTCTCTTTTATGAATACGGCTCATTGTATGGGGCTTGATCGGTTACCCGTAAATTTCACGGCGATGTAGCCCTATATTCTTAATATGATAAAATGCCACTGTACTAGTAAAATTGATTGTACCTCCTAAATACGCTCTTCAAAATCTGGAACCTCCATAACTTCACCCCGTCCGGTATTTGGACCGTACCTTCGCCTAACATAAAACGAAATATTCGTAAAAGAGGAGAAAAAGCCCCTGACATCTTTATGAAAGCACCGGTGCAGGTGACGTGGCAAAAGCAAGTGGGAAGCAAAACACCCTCATATGTATAAAAATGCGCGCACACAGTGGGGGGATCTTCGCCGGAAATTATTGTCTAAATTCTTTATCTTGACAGGCGCTAGGCGGTGCGACTTCGCCGTTCGCTACATCCGCGTACACGGGAGTCGTCGACAGCTCCAAAGCCCTGTTATTTGTTAACAGGATACACTTTGAGAGTATACAAGTCGGAGATATATAAGAAGATATACGAGCCGTACAGTGTCGTAGAGCAGAACTACATACGATGTATAGCTTAGGCAGAGCACCTCTTTTTATTAAGTATGTACCATAAATTTAACAGACGATTCTTTGAGTCCGCAAATTCTTCGTTCTCAAGGTACTGGGTGTGCAACGTGCCAAAATCATGTAACCTTTTTTTTTCTATTTATCACTTAACAGTAATTTGAATTTCTCTTCATTGATAATAGAGTGTCCATTCCTAGGCCAAACCCTTTCCAATGATTTTCTTTTGCAAATTTAATAGTTTATTGATTGTATAATTTCACTCGTATTATATCTTGCTTTCTCAGCGATTCAGTATGGTGTTGACAATCAGCAAAAAACTCTGTAGTTTTTCTCCGTTAGTTGGTTTCCTATAAAACGTATCTTCTTCAAGGCCACTCAAGATACCTTCTTCTAGAACGTTACATGTTCGGCGTGATTCGCTTTTCTGTTTCCGTTGAGGTCGTGGTGCAGGGGTCGTTTCGTCATTTTCCGGACTCTGGAATATTAGGCGCCAAGCGCCAATTCATGGACTCGCACCTTTTTTTTTGTGTAACTTAAGTTTAGTCATTTTGATTTGGGTGCTACGTCTTCCATTTTCTTTTTTATGGGATTTTGACCCTCAGCGGTTCTTTTTTATATACCCTCGGACCACGTGCCTTAATGCGTGTCCTGATGACGTTCGTTCAATATCTGCTTTCTTTTAGTCAATAGAAACAGAAGAGAATCATCGACCTTTCTCCTCCAGTTTGTTTTCTGAATTTATGTCATATCTTGCTTAATTTTTTGGAAAAAAATACCACTTAATTACATATCCCTCGAACACACAAGGAACATGGGGAAAAGTTTCTTTGAGAAATTATAATTTTCTTTTTATAATTGTTGTATTACAAAGTATGTAACAACAACAAATAAACACTTATTTAACATCTAAGCTAATACATTCTACGAAACTAAGAATAGTAAAAAATAATCAAGGGATGCCTTGGAAAATAATTTCAGCGTTTAGTAAACAACTCGGCAGACGTCAACTTAGTATTTATAAGCTTCTAGCTGACCCGACAGACGTTGTCCTGTCAGCTATAAACTGGAATGAATAATGAATAATAAAAGGGTAAATATTATGGAATATAGGTAATTGTATAGCAAAGTGTTTGTACCGCCATGTGGCTAGCAAAATATGTTCGTAGCACTGCCATTCCCCCATCAAATTACCTTGAAAGTAGGCATACAATCATGTCTAATGCCTTTTGTTGCGCCAAAAGATGAAGCTTTGGCTTTTTTTAGAAAGAATCGAACGGAAGAAAATTTTGCTAAGTATAAACAGAAAAGAAATAAAGCTCTCTTAGAGATTCGGAAACAAAAAAAAGCGTACATTGAATTGTTAACGGAGCAAGGTAATGCGAAAGAGTTGTGGAATGGACTCAAAAATATTGATATAAATTTTAGTAGTAAACCCGTTAAACCGTCAAATTTTAGTGATCCCGATGCGATTAATGACTACTTTATGAGCGTGTACTGTGCTAATAATATTTCCGAAGATGTAATTCAATTTTATAATCGAAATAAGTTTCACCCAAACAATAACTTTTCTCTAAGAATTGCCGAACCTTTTGAGGTATTTCAGGCAATAAAAAGCTTACAGCCGGATTCTAAGGGCATCGATACCTTATCTTTAACCATGATTAAAGTCAGTTTGCCTATAAAGTTTGCTCATATTGTACATCTAATCAATTCATGTATTGAGAAAGAGGCTACTTTCCAACTATGTGGAAACATGCCTTAGTTATTCCTATCCCTAAAATTAACAAACCAACCCAGCTTTCAGATATACGACCAATAAGTTTATTGCCGGTGTTATCAAAAATCTTAGAAAAGATCGTTCAGATTCAAATAACTGCTTACATTGAAGAATGCAAAACTTATCCACTAATCAGTTTCGTTTCAGAAAACACTAGAGTACAACAGCTGCCTTATTAAATCTATGCGACAATGTACTACGTGCGCTTGATAAAAAGATCACAGTAGCTTTGATATCGGTTGATTATTCTAAAGCATTTGATAGAATCAATCATCTCCTTCTTCTAGCTAAATTGAAATATATTGGCTTGGATAATACCTCACTTAAACTTTTCTGTGCGTATTTAACCGACCGAGTTCAGGAAGTTTCTCTATCTAGACAGAGCTCTGTCCTAACTGTCATACCATCTGGAGTGCCTCAGGGATCTATCCTAGGTCCAGTAATGGAAAATTCTGAAATGCAATCTTTTGCAGACGATACCCAAATAGTACATTATTTTAAGGCTAGTTATGAATTACCTTCAGCTAATATAGAGCTGCAACATGATATTGACATGGTTTGTAAATATTCAGCCAATCATAATTTATTAGTTAATCCTGAGAAGTCAAAAGTCATAGTTTCCTGTTCTGATAATAAAAGAAACTACGTCAAAGGTAACCTTAATATCTTTATTGACAGAAATCTTCTTCAGGTTGGTATTACTGCCAAGATTTTAGGCGTCGAGGTCGATGAGAAGTTAAGGTTTTATAATCATGTCAACTATCTTGCTCAAAAAACCTACTTCCGCCTACGCACTTTGTACTCTTGTAGGTACTTACTGAACTATAACCTCAGGAAAAAACTGTGTGTAACGCTAGTGATGTCTTGTTTGAACTACTGTAACATCCTTTATTTCCCATGCCTTGACAAAATAACGAAAAGGGACGAGATGAGGGAATGACTTTCAGACTAATATACTAATTGTATTTTTTTGTGTCGCTATAGTATCTAAATCTTTGCTTTTAAAATATAAGTGTAGATACTTATTGATATAATAAAAATGTTAAATTGATGATAAATCCATGCAACTTAGCATCAATGGCTCAGGACATGAATTTCTAAATTTGCTGAGAAATACCCAAATATTTTGTGCCTAAACTTTTAGGACATACGTTAGTCTGAAAATGCTGGACCTCAAGTGAAGTAGAACAATAAAAAATCAAGTTCATCGTTAATGTTTTAAGCAATTTTCTCAAAAAATATCAAGCTGCTTCATTTGATGGATCCCTCGGTACGGCAAAAAGTAGCGAGTCCTAACCATTACAGCAGCCTTCGTGTGTCTCGGAAGCAGTAGCTTGGTCCCCAGGTGGGTTTTCCTAGACCTGACCGACTGACGACAGACACTGATATTACAGTGAGTATGACCTAAAGGCTAAGGTCTTCCGGACCGCCTTGAGAAGCAACGACGAGTAGTAGTGTAACCGTACGTGTTCCCTGAACGTCGTAATGCGTCAGCTATCATGGTTTGGCTCTGATGTGATAGTCTGATCAGATTAGAGGAAAATTCTCCTGGTTTGCGAAATAATTGCAAAGTTTGATTGATGCAAGTTCGATCGAGGGTATTTAAAAGGGTTTATAAGAAAAAACGTAACGCCTTATTTTTCGCATAAAATTAGCATTCATCTTTTCGAAATGGTTTGTGATTCATACCGGCAAGGTAACCTCGTGTATTTTGCTATAAAATGCCCTTGGAACGAACCTTGTATATTTCTCAATAAACTTGTAGTGAAGGCAGACACTCTTTTGGGATAAACAATTAGAAATTCTCAAAAATTACCTGACCAGTCCACTTCAATTTTTTGTGATTATTAAGTAGTACGCCTATGGATGTGAGAAATTTCAAGTGTCTGCTTGACACTATCCTCGCCTTGCCAACAAGTGCCAAAACCTGCTTTTTGACTACGAGCCCCTCCCCACTTCAGTTGGCCCACTTCAAGATTTGTACCAAAATATGCCTTTATAAACTAAACATGACGAGACTATTTACTTCTTAAACAATTTATTTTCTCAAAAACATCTTAGGTACACTCTAGACGTAAAAAATACATATTTGAAATCACCTATAACTAATAGAACATCTGAACAAATAAACAATGTGCGAATAAATACGCGAAGTTAACAAAGCAACAATTGAAAGATTACCATTGGGTAACATCACCTTTATTTTTTATCACGGCTGAAATTCTTTGGGGCATAGTGTTAACCAAGTTTTGGCAAAAATTTGGTGTAAAACAATCCCATATTTATTGAAGCTTTTGTCTCAGTTCGGTGATTGTACGAGCAGGATGTTGTCGTAGAACCTTTTTCATCTCGTGCCACAAAGTTTCAATAGGTGACAGATCTGAACTGCTAGAAACCCATTTCAAAAATGGTACATTATTTTCTTCCGTCCATTTTATAGCCTTTTTTGAGGTATGGCACGCTACACCGTCTTGCTGAAACACAAAATCTTGGCCGGATGTCAAAAATTCTTTTATCACTGGTAAAAGCGATTCTTCTAAAATTGCCAAATATTTATTTATATCCACATTTCCATCAATAAAATGAAGTTTTCCTACTCCTTTTGATGACATACTGCCCCAGACCATAATGGATGTTGGAAATTTCACTTTTCTCTTCAGACAGTCAACATGGAATGCTTCATTTTTTTGCGAATAACTCTAATGCGACTGTCACCAACACAAACTTCAAATCAGGCCTCATCACTTCATTGTATTGCACACCATTGTTGAGGTGTCCATTATCTATGTTCTTTAGCCCATCTAAGCCGATTTTTTTTGCAGTGGAGTTCATAGTGGCTTTTCTTTGGCCTATAAACAAGTTGTGCAACTTAAGGGTTTTTACTGCCACTTTTTTTCATAAGAAAACTTACCTTGCAAGTGCTCTTCTTAATGCTCTTCGGTCGGCATTTGTGATATTACTTTTTTTCACATGGCGTAATATTAACTGAACCAGTTACGTTATATCTTCTAACAATGTTTCTCACACTGTACCGCGATAAGTCTAACAAAGTTGCAATTTCTGAGTTTGATTTCCCAGAATTAAAAAATTTAATTATCAGTAACCGAATTTTCTCACTAATAACCTTTCCTCTACCCATTTTGCAAACCTTAACTACCCAAAACTATTAACGTATTCTGACAGCTGTGCTTAATAAAAAAAATTGTCATGGCTTTTATTTTTCACAGCCACCTATTCGTTATAGACTTATTTTGCATTGAAATGAAAATATGCTGTAACTGCAACATGTGTTATTTTTATACTGCAAATTTGATTAGGGAGTGATAAAGTTGGTGTTTTCCACTATATAACGTATTATCAAAATATTCATTGTTAATATTTTAAACCTATAACACCCTGCTACATTTCTATTATTTGTGTTTGATAAAAAACTAAGATTTCAATAGTGGGAAGGGGGGTCGTATATATATATATATATGAATCCCTATTTCGCGTGGTCACGCCATAACTTGAGGACGACTTTACCGATTTAATCCATCTTTTTTTTTCAAGTTTCCTAATGCTGTATAGAAGATTCTTACGGAAAGAAAAATCAAGAAAATTGCGCAGAAAATTCTGATATCATTGAAAACCTAATGATTATTTAAGCTACGCGCGTTTGACAGAAAAATCTCAAGTACCAAAAGAGACAGCCCCTGCCATCTTTATTCGAACAGCTATTGACAGTTAGCTATGTGAGAGAAAATATGAAACCACGGTGCTTTCGTTTTTGGTCTTGCATTTCTTTACCATCCGTACTTTGTGATGGACACTTTAAAAGAAACTGCTGTGTTGCCTTATTGTTATCTTTGCCAGTTAATTGTAGGAATAAAAATGGCGGATGAAAATACGTTTCTTTTAACAGTGAGTATCAAAAAATATGTTTTATTTAATTAGTAGTGCACAGTCCATTCAGTTAGACCTTTTATCCAGTTTTCAGTTTGTTCAGTGAGTTTTTCGAGAGGTATTTGCTCAAAAATAATTAAAATTGTGATTCTTTAAAATGCCACCGATCCAGGTAGCAGAATTGGCAATGCTGGAAGTCAAAGATATATATATACGAAGAAGTCAAACTGACGAGCAACGGGAAGCGAGAAATTTTGATGAGGACTGAAATTCAACAACGTAGAAGTGTCGCATTTAATCCCAATCGAGCTGCATTAAATTATGACGTGGCAATAGATCAGAATTCACAACAAATCGCTGCTATTGGACCAATAAACGTTGTGAGTCCATATTGCAAGGCTTTCAAGTTTAAAAATGAAGCCCTTGGATTATTTTGTTATGCGTCAGTGAAAACAGCAAATTGACCGTCACCAGAGCCACTACATACATTGGATTCCGGAAATGGGCCAGATTCTCTATATTTTTTGACTCATATCCAGCAATGTGTGATAATAAAAAACTGTGATAACCTAAACCGGTTCAAACGGAAAGTTGGTTTTAGATAAGTGTTAGTAATTAGTTGTATTCTGTTTATTTTAATTTTGCACATTTTTGCTCGATTTTACCTACTTTATTTGTACAATTTTATTTATACCTATTTTGTTTTGCTTTTTTTTGATTATATGTACCCCTTGTATATGTATTCGTAGTATTATTTGTAAGTTAGGGTTTGTAGGTTTATTTTCGGTTCTTTTTGTTTTGTGAAGTATTACACTTTTCATTTAATTTTTTCATATAAAAATACAATGTTTTTTTTTTCATTTTTATGATTGTGGGTAAAGGCAAACGTGTACTTAAATGTAGCTCTTATGCTAAATAAATGCTTTATTAATGCAATAATTGCTTTCAAATGACGTCATTTGGCACAACAAAATTGATTCCGCATAATTTCATGCCTACTTTCAAGGTAAGTTGATGGGGGAATGACAGTGCTGCCAACGTATTTTGCTAGCCGCATGGCGGTACAAACACTCCGCTATACAATTACCTATATTCCATAGGTATATTTAACCTTTTATTATTCATTATTCATCAAAGTTCATAGCTAAGACAGGACCACTTCTGTCAGGTCAGCTAGTTGATTATAAAAGGGTATGAAAATCTTTAGACTTCAGACATCTACCACAGAGGTGCCCAATACCAGATCTTCGATTTCAGCGATGACTTGAGTGATGACAGATAGCAGGAATGACGTCACCACAACTGCTTAAACGTGGACGCACTGCAAACCCGACTGGATTGTTTTTGCTAGATAAATTCTTCTAAAGCGAAAACAAGAACTAAACTATCACAACTCTCGATCTCGATTATGCACGACAAACGTTGATGGTATCAAAATAATTCACTAAGGGTACATCCGCAGGGAACAATTTCCAAACCAATCCAGGTCATCCATCTTGATTTAATTGATGGTTCAGGTAGAGCATTCCCCAATGTGGAACGATGCATAAATGCATCATGGAAACCTCGCTCCTTTGGAGCATCATTCGTTCCGTTTGTATTTCCCACAACAATACGATATATCAAAAGACCAGTTTCGATGAAATATAGCCTGCTGTCATGAGGAGAGGATTTAATATAATTTATAAGGCACTTTCCTAGGTTTCGAATAACTTTCCGCCGCGGAAATCCGTAGTCCAGGTCTAAGATATGGAGAAATAAGAAACACAATCATAAACAGTAGAAATATCTGCCTTTTATAAAGTTTCCTATTTTAGGTATGGCTATTCGGCAAGTTTGTATTGATCAAATGATATATTTACTTTGAATATCACCGACCCCTAAAACACTAAATCGAATATAATGTCCTCCTTACTCTTCGTATTCCAGAAGAGTTGAAGCGCTACAGATCCGAATTGCGTAGTTGCTAGGTTCTGGCTAAAAAGCTATAGATTTTCTGGACTAACAACTGTACTTAGAAGTTGAAATGAGATATGGAAGAGCCAGCATACTGATGAAAAAGACAGACCAGCGACGGAAGTGTAAGAGGATTTTAGAATGGGAATTGACCATGAACTATAACAATAAGGATATGTTAGCACTGCCCCAAGACAGGTTTTAAATTCATCTGCACTGGAAAAGGGGATATACGTTTTTTGTCAAAAAAAATTTATGCTAGTCTACACAGTGAGTGAGTAGTGAAGAAACCTAATTAATGCAACATTATTTGCTATCTTTGTATCTAGGTGAAAAAAGAGCAGTTGCAAAGACGGAAACACCTTATTATACAGGGTGACAGGTAAATAGGTGTAAAACATTTTAGGAGGTGATAGTACAGCTCCTTTGCTATCAAAATTAGTATATAATACCCTATATTCAAAGATTAAAAACTTATGGAAGATTTAATTTTTTTTTAAAAACAACCCAGATTACAGAGTAAAATAGTTGAGATAAAAAAAAGTTGGTGATTAAACATTCTTTTTTTGGTGGTTTCAGGTTACTATTTAAATAAATAATACTCATAGATTAAAAAACATATGAAACACTACTGAAAACGTATTTATTTTCATTTAAATGTTAAATGAAAATTTTTATTTTCAACTTTCACACTAAGAAGTCTTTTTTTCAAAAAAATCATAATAAAGAAAATGTACAAATAACTGCAAGAACTTCCTCGTTTCATTAGGTTTCTAAAATGGTATAATAACATATCAGTAAGTAAACCATTTAACAAAACAATATTACTTTGCTAGAAAGGACCGCTAAGCGCATTTCATTGTACTGAGCAGGTAAACCGAGCCTTTCATGGTTCGACCCTTTTTGTTACTTTTTGTGCCCTGTGCCGTTCTTCGGGTTTAAGTATTCGGAATCTGTCGTCGCTCCTCGGAAGCAAGCTCTGCGTGTGTTATGAATTCACACAGGTGACGGATCAAGAAAAGGGAACTAACGCTTAGGTTAGTTAGTACAATATCAACGTTTAAAGCGGTAGGACGTACTTTTACTTTTTTTGATCAGTTTTAATAATGGCGAGTTACCGTAACGAATAATACGCTGATATTCTGTTTTGTTATGGTTTAAGTGATGGAAATTCCGTTGAAGCCAGGCGAGAATACGAAATGCCGTTTTCCGAATCGGCGAATACCGAGTCATCGAGTATTTGCTTCTGTGTACCAACGCGTCAAGGAAAGTGGACAGGTTCATGAGAGACGTCATGATGCTGGTAGACCTCGGTTGTTTAACGACGAAGATCGAGAGGCAATACTGGAATGCTACGGCAGAGACCCAACGACGTCTACACGAGTTATAGCAAAGCAGCTTGGTTTAACTCAGTGGAAAGTTTGGTTCGTTTTGCATTCGGCGAGACTTTACCCTTTCCATTACACACCGGTTCAAGTATTAGAAGAAGGAGATCCCGCAAGAAGAATTGATTTTTGTCGATAAATGCTTCATTGGGATCAAGAAGAAAACGACTATTTAACTAAAATATTGTGGACCGACGAATCTAAGTTTGACATAGAGGGGACAACAAATTATCACAACTCACATTATTTGGCTCCACGAGAGGCAAATCCCCACATGGCAAAGCCAAGAGACCATCAAAGAAGATTTTCGGCAAACGTGTGGATGGGAATCATTCATACGTATCTAATTGGACCAATTTTTTTGCCTGACAACCTGAATGGCGAATCCTATGAAAACTTTTTGAGATCCGAACTCTGGGAGTATAT